GCCAAGCCTAACCCTATGCCAAGCCTAATGCCCAAGCCAAGCCTAACCCCAAGCCAAGCCTAACCCCATGCCAAGCCTAACCCTATGCCAAGCCTAATGCCCAAGCCAAGCCTAACCCCAAGCCAAGCCTAACCCCATGCCAAGCCTAATGCCCAAGCCAAGCCTAACCCCATGCCAAGCCTAACCCCGTTCCAAGCCTAACCCGCGGGTGCTGCCAGACCTGGCTCAAGCAGTGCCTCATTCCTCAGCTTGCTTGTGCTTCTGCTCAAAGCTGGGGTCCCACAGCGCAGAGCCCCCCTTGCCTACCACCCCCACGGGGGGCTCTGGGATGGGTCCAGGCAGGAGTTTGCAGCGGCAGAGTGACTCTGGCCCTTGTGCCTGCAGCGGGACCAAGTGCCACCACGCAGCCCTGGGGCACGATGCCCACTTACCCCCCGCTTCCTGGCAGCTCAGGACATGCTGCCTGCAGGTCAGCTAACCCCTCCTGCCCGAGAAACCCCCGCAGGGCGGCAGGGAGAAGTGAAGCCCCGTCAGTTGGCGCAGACCCCCTTTGTTGTAGACTTGAATCCTTCATAAAACTCTTCCATGGAAAACCTTTCGGTAGCTGCAGGGATGAGTGGTTTGCTTCATTGTGTGTGAAACCAGTGTCTGGCTGCGACGAGCCTGCATGGCCCTGGGGCATCTGCAGCCCCCTGGGTCCCTCCGTGCAGCTGCATTTCTCGTGAAGCTTCTCACCCGCTCAGTGCTGGTGTCTGTGTCCCCCCAGATGATCCCCCACCCCTTGGTTATGACGGTCTGTAGCCCGCAGCTTCCTTGGTTGGTTTTGGTTTGGTTTTTCCTTTCTTTCTTTTAAGCCATCCTGTGCTGCCGCCTGTTTGCTCCATCCTTGAAGACTGTCCATCTGTCCCGTGCCAGCCCCTGCCCACTTGCAGGCTGGCACCATGCCCTGGCTGGGATGGGAGCTGATTTCGGGAGGTTGGGGGGGGAATCCTCCTCCTCTCCCCACCGTGGCCTCTCCCGTACAGCCTGTTAGGCACATGAAAGAGAGGAAAAAACTGCGAAGGAATACAGCACAAAGGGGGGTTTGGAATGGAGGGCACATGGCTGCAGGCGTTTGCCAGCCTCATAGGGAGCAAGGCTGGAAAGGTGGCTTGCAGCAGGACAGGGGGGGGGTCAGGGGACCCCAGGCGGGGGCTCG